TTAAAGGAAGAAAAACCACAACACTGGAAGATATTATAAATGGGTTTGGGTTTTTTCATTATTTGTGCCCCTCCTCAGGCCCTCCCACGAGCACAGGGGAAATGCCAGGGCCCTTCCTCAGCTATTCCTGTGGCACAGTTGATGGGCAGGGACACGGCCTGAGCAAATGGGAGGATTATTTTGGAGAGGGAGTTCTGGATTAGGAATGTGACTTGTGTAAGGGCAGTGTTATGGTTTGGGCTCTTTCAAGGGCTGGTGTAAGTGGAAAACTGGATTTATTGCTTTCTTTGTGCTGAATCAGGACTAACTTTGATAGCAGAGGATTTGCCTTTCCAACTGATCCGTCCAAGGGCATTGAGTTCCCGAGGATTCCCTGGAGACAGGTGTGTAAAATGGTGCATGGAGCCATGGAACTGCTGTGCCAGGGCTCTGCACAGCTGGACAGGCTCCAGCCTGGATCCCTGCACGCTGCCAGCAGGGCAGAGCAGAGCAGAGCCCAGCTCCACACGTGGCACAACAGCCCCATGTCAGAGCAGTGCTGGCTGCTGGGACAGATGAACCTCCAGGGTTTTCTCCTCCTGAATTTGCCCAGACCATGATCCATGGATTTGCTGAGGGAGAGTCAGGACGATCTGGGAAGGAGGAATAACTTGCAGAATACTCTGCCTCTCTGGCTGCCAAGTGCCAGGATGGAAAAACCCCCTGGCTCAGGGAAGGGTCGCTGGAATCTGTTCTCAGAGGCTGCTCCGAAGGCCCTGCTGCTGCTGGAGGGGCTGGTGCCAGTGCAGCAGGTCCCAGGGGGATTCCCAGATACTGGGGACAGAAACGATGTGTGAGATGGATGAATGGATAGGAACAAATCCTGAGGAGGGAGCAGATCCTGCCATGGCAGTGACAGTGCCAGGCAGGTGCCAAATGAGGGAAACCTGCCTGGCAGGGAAGGAGATCTGATTGAGAAATGAGGATGATAAAAATGAGTGTGTTTTCCCAGGTCCTGCCCACTCTCATTCACTTCATGTCCTGGATATTATGTAGAAAAAACCTTTATTTCCACAAAACTCATGTGTTTTGGAGTTTGACCCAGTTCTGGAGATAAGGCACTTGACTGAAATACCAGCTCTAGATCTAAATTGCCACCAGATCTTGGATTCTGGTTTAGGGTCAATTCCATCTGAATGGCCAAAGGCATATAGTGCAAAAATATTGTGGCCTTAATTATTTTTTTGGTAGTTTAATTAGGAGCTTGATCTGGGTTTGGGGCAGGACACAAAGTGGATTAGGGGAGCAGCTGGCTCTTTAATTAGGGTCATTTCTCTGTCCCTAAAGTTCACCCTTTGCTTGCCCAGAGGCAGCAGGGCAGCCCCAGCCTGGGGGGTGCTGGGGATACTCCCCCCTTGCTGGAATCCCACTGCAGAGATCCCAAAGTACCAACTGGCAGTGGTGACCTGTGGCTATTTATGGAGGCCAGGGACTGGGGTAAATATTTATTTAGATTCCAGTGCTTAATCTGCCACCGGTGGATTGTGTGGAAACACTGAGCCCACGCTCCTCCTGCAGCAATTTATATCCAGAGCATCCATCTCCCCTGCTTCCAAGGCTCCAGACACATTCCCCAGGATTAATTGTGCAGAGAAGGGGCACGGCCTGGGCTCAGACCTCGTGGCACCGTCCGGCCCCATCGGGGCAGGAGTCCTGCCCTGTCTCTTTTACCTGAGGGACGTTCAGAAACCCAACCCCAGGGACCCCGGGGGGATGGCCCAGGGCTGGCCCTGCCCTGCTGGACAGACACAGTGTGGGGACCTGGGACAGAGCCCTGGGGTCACTGGGATCCATCCCAGAGCAGTGGCAGCTGAGCTGTCCTGCCTGGGGACAGCAGAGCCACCCCCCTGTGCAGCCACCTCTGTCACCCCACAGGGTCCCACAGCCACCCCAAACACTGCCTGCTCTCCATCTACCAGAGCAGATCTGTACTGAGGGTGGGGAGGGGAAGGCTCTGGAAGGATCCTCCACGTTCACCAGCCAGGGTGGATGGACACCCCCCTCCCCTGCCCTGGCTCTGTGCCTCCCACCACAACCGGCCACCAACACTCTGGGCTGCACTGGGAGGGTCCCCCAGCCCCAAAGCTCGGGCTGTGGTGCTGCAGGGGGAGGCAGCAGCAGTGGGTGCAGGTCGGGGTGATGGGCAGGGCTGGGGAGTGTCTGGGGGGGCTCAGTGACAAGGGACACGGTCCCAGCTGTGCCAGCCCAGGCAGAGCTGCTAAACCATCATCCCCAGGAGCCACCCGGAGCAGGGAGCACAGCAGCTGGAAGCCTCTGCAAGAAAACCCTCCACACGGCCAGGAGATGAGTTTGCACTCAAGGTACCATTTTTATTTTGACATATATACATTATATAATTTAAAATGCAGAGTATTTGTCAGAGAAATGTTTTGTTTTTCAGATAAAAGCAACCCACCGTGTCCCACACAGCCCCTTTGATGCCCTTGAAAGGTGACCTGCAGACAGCTCCTTCCCCATCTCCCTGCTGCTGCTGGGAAAACCTGCCTGCCTCTCCTCTCCCCCTGGAAAAAGGTGGATGTACCTGTCCCTCCCCTCCAGAGCCAAGTGTCCTTTACTGTCACACGCCCTGTCCCCTCCTGCAGGGCTGAGACAGAGCTGTGGGGACACTGGGAACAGGGCAAGGAGGAACCAGAGCTGACAGGGACAGTTTCAAACACTGCTGTAAAACCTGCCAGGGTGGGGAAGGGCTGGAGGGAGAGGAGGTTCTGCCCAGCAGCTTGGGAAGATTCCTCCATCCAGAAGGAAGGAGTTGGAAGATGGTGAGACAAAAAAAAGGCTCAGTAAATGAGACTCTTCCTTTGGCAGAGAGGCACCAGGAGCCCCGGGGCACCTGGGGCTGTGGCCATGCAGTGAGAGGACACAGCACCAATCACACAGTCCCAGTTCAGGCTTTTTTGCACTAGTTACCAGTGCTGGGAGGGCTGGGAGAGGTGAGAGCAGAGGGAGGCGATGCACTGAGGTCCTGAGACAATCCTCCCTGCAAATCCCCTGAGAAAAAGCATGAAATGGAGCTTTCCTTTGCACAGCACCGAGTTAAAAGTTCTCTTCTCTGTCCTGGTATCCCAGGCTTCACTAAGGCTCAATCCTCTACCATAAATACGAAAAATATTCTTTACTTGAAGCCTGCTGGGCCATACAGCTGCATTTGGTTTGCAATGGGAAACACTTTATCTGGGAAATGAGAATAAATTATGAGCAGCAAAAGCTCTCCCCAGTCTGTTAGAATTCCAGGAGTGTGTCTGAAGTAGTGAATAAAACCTGATGTGCTGCATTTTTTTTTCAAGGACTTCCAAAAAGTCCTTCTGGAGACACAACCCAAGCAGAGAACCAGCCTGGAGGACGATGATTTGCCAGCAGAGGGGCTGATTAGGAGAAAAGGGAAATAACGATCAGTAGTTCATTTTGATCGTGGCAAAAAGGCTCCATCTGGTGGTGTTTGCACCCAGAAAGGAGGTGAGGAGGAGGGTGGGAACTGCAGATCCTCTTGAACTTGAGGAAATGTCAAGCTGGGAGAAGGGGTGGCACGATGGGAAATGAAGCTGTGTGTGGATAAATGCAGAGAAATGCACTTGCAAGGGGACAGATGAGGCTGGGGAACCCTGGGGAGCCAGGCTGAGCTGCTCAGAGTCAGCACTGACAGGCCATGGGAGATCTGTGCTGCCCTGCACAGGGCAGGGCAGGCACCCAAACAGAGAGAGAGGAATAACAGGAAATATTTTAATGCCTTTCTATTAAGCACAGTCCAGAGCATTCCAGCAGGAACAGGGATACTGGAGGAATAGGAGCAAAATGATAAGCTCAGAAGGACCTTGATATGGAAACAGGTTAAAAAGTTTGCTATTCAGTTAAAAAGAGGCAGGATCAGGAGGGATGTGAGTGTTAAAAAATTAAGGCTGGTCCTGCTAAGCCTGGGCAGCTTTGAGGGGAGAGAAGGGAGCTGTCAGGGGCAGGAGGGAGCTGCCTCTGAGCTCAGGCAGGACATGGAGTAACCAGCTTAAACTCCCTGTTTTGCAGTAGTCAGGAAGCTTTGGGGATGGGAGAGTGGAGCTTCCCTCCCTCCCCCAAAAATCCCACTCAAGCATCACCAGGAACGGAACAAGGTCAAGTCTGCCCTGGGGGCAGCCAGGGATGGGATGCAGCCTCAGGGCCCCCCACTGACAGCCAGGGAGGACAACTGGTCACAACTGGGCTGCTCCTTTGCCAGCACCTGCTGAGTGGACCCCCAGCAGAACTGGGGCGTGGGCAGGGAAATCCCTCCTGTCCCCACCACAGAGCACCCACGGGTTTTTAGTGTTGGGGAACCTGCTGGTGCTGCCCAGGTGAGCTGGCACGGAACCCCTGAGCTCGTGGGGGCTGTGGGGCTGCACCCCAGCCCTGCACCCCCTGAGCCCTGGGGAGCTGCAGGGGTCCAGGCCCAGGCTGGGGCAGGGAACACCTGCCAGAGGAGGGGCAGGAGGAGTGTTCCTATAAAAAGGGATTAGGATGTCTGATAAAAAGCTGGAGAAGGCTCAAGTACTGGGCTCAGGAGCAGAGGGAAGGTGAAGCAGCCCCACGTGGGCTTACAGACAACAACTGTAAGCCCAGGGCTCAAACACAGGGAGGGGCTGGGCTGGGGCTGTCAGCAAAGGGGGGCTCTGCACCTGCCCCAGGGGTGCACAGGACCCTACACACACACACAGAGGCATTACCATCACACCTCTGTTCCTCCTGAGGGGTCCCAGCAATGCCCCACCACAGTCAGGCCCCATCCTCAGTGCTGAGACATCAAAAAGACATCAAAGTGAAGCCCCCCATCCCCTACTTCTGTCTGTGGCTCCTGGGGATGCAGAGACCCCAGGCCCTGTGGTGGGAGGGGGTGCAAGCCCCGCTCTCTCTCAGGGGCTCCTTGAATCCCCCTCTCCTGGGAGACGTCAACGCAGAGCAGAGAACTGAGAGAGAGCTCGGCCGGACCCCCCAGCCCCTGCCCCCCTCAGGGCCTGAAGAAGCGTCGTAGCACCAAGTGCCCCACCACGACCAGGGCCACCACCAGCATGTACTTCATGTAAACATTGTCCAGGTCCAGCGCAGCCACCTGGCAGGGAGCAGACACCGCAGTCAGTCCTGCTGGAGCCAGGCTGCTGTGCTGCCTGAGCCCCCAGGGACCCCCAGGCCCCCCCAGCCCCCCGGCAGCCCCGCTCACCCATCCTCCCTGCTGGGCGATCCAGCGGGCGATGCGGTGCTGCACCATGAACTCCACCACGTAGCGGGCGATGCGGCGCAGGAAGCCGGGCAGGCCGTGCTGGAAGACGTGCATGGCCATGCGGTAGCCGAAGCTCAGCAGTGCAATCACACGGCCCCAGTTGATGCCGCTCTCGAACAGGCTGGAACGGAGCAGAGGGGCCGCTGAGTCCCTGCCCAGAGCTCCCGGCTCGGCCTCCCGAGGGGTCTCGGGAGGGAACGGCCCTGGAGTCGCACCGGGTGAGGTTTGGGTTGGATGTTGGGTTGGATATTGGGTTGGATATTAGGGAGCATTTTTTCACTGAAAGGGTTGTCCAGTCACCCATCCCCGGACAGATTTAAAAGCCAGGTGGATGTGGCGCTTGTGGATGTGGTTTAGTGGTGGTTTTGGCAGTGCTGGGGGAATAGCTGGACTTGATGATCTTAGAAGGCTTTTCCAACCCAAACAGTTCTCTCATTCTGTGGTTGCAGGGCTGGGGATGCTGCACCAGTCCTTGAGGCTCATCCCAGCCACACTGACATGGTGATTTTGTGGCTGGAAGAGGCTCCCAAACGTGTCCAGGGTTTGGCTGCTGAGGGCAGGTTTGGCACTGATTTATCTAGACCAGTTTTTGAAGGTGTTTTTCCTGCTTTCCAGCAAAGCAAGTGAGAAGGGAAAAAAGGGAATAAAAAAATAAAAAAGAGAGTAGACTGAGGCCCTGTGTTTCAATCTGCTGCCCTGTGCTGGTGGTGCCTGCACTGCTCCCTGCAGAGCCTTGGCAGAGGTATGAAGAGGGGAGTTAGAGCCCTGGAGGGAGCAGAGAACAGGAGCACAGGGAGAGGGACAGGGGTTAATTTACCTGAGTGTGTTACTGCCTCAGCCAGCGCGGCTTCCCGGACAGGGGAGCAGGAAAAGGACAGAAGAGAAGCAGTTAGACACAAACACCGAGAGGAGGGTGCAGGGACAGGGCTGTGCAGAGCCAGGGGTGCTCAGAGGAGCCATGGGAACCCAGAGAACCCTCCTGCCTCTGCCTTCTGCACGACCCTGGGCAAACCACTGAACATGCAGAGTGTCCTGGTGTCCCTGCAGCCAGACAGGGTGAGCACTGAACCCCTGGATGCCACCTCAAACAAAGCTGTACCACATCCTGGGGCTGCATTGGTGCCTCTGACAGCCAGACTCCTCGGGATGTGCCAGCCTGGAGCAAGCAGCAGCAGGACCAGCAGCAGCTCTGCCTTGGCCCAGGGCTGGCTGTGCCCCCGAAGGGTTGCCAGGACATTCACTTGGCTACATCCCCCAGACTTTCTGACCCCAGTCAGCTCCTGCAAGGACGGAGATGCTGTCAGGGGAAGACTGTCCTAGCAAGGCACAGGAGGAGGAGCAGACAGGCGGGAAACACAGAAATAGTCAGGGTGAGCTCACGGGGAGCTCGGCCCAGGGACAGCGGGTGAAGCTTGAGAGGACAGAGCCTGTGTGCTGGGATAGTCCCTGTGTGCTGGGACAGTCCCTGTGTGCTGGGATAGTCCCTGTGTGCTGGAATAGTCCCTGTGTGCTGGGACACACTCCGTGTGCTGGGACAGTCCCTGTGTGCTGGAATAGTCCCTGTGTGCTGGGATAGTCCCTGTGTGCTGGAATAGTCCCTGTGTGCTGGAATAGTCCCTGTGTGCTGGATAGTCCCTGTGTGCTGGGATAGTCCCTGTGTGCTGGGACACACTCCGTGTGCTGGGACAGTCCCTGTGTGCTGGGACAGAGCCAGAGAGGGGGAGAGGGTTTGACCAACAGCGCTGCACCCGTGTGACCTCCCCTTCCCTGCTCTGCTCCAGGAGAAGGCTGCCAGCCTGCCAAGGGCCCTACCTGGAGGCTATCTTGGTGAAGTGCTCGTAGGCGTTGGCTGCAGTGGGCTGCAGGGTGTCCAGCATGGTGCGGAACTCGGCGTCGTAGCGCCTGTAGATGTCATCGCCGATGATGGCCAAGCGCTGCCCCACCTGGCTGCCGGTGCTGCGGAGGGAGGGCAGAGTCAGGGCGGCTCAGCAGGACTGAGGGGTGGGTCTGCCACGGGGTCTGGCTCGGGGTGGGCCAAGGGACAGGCACAGGGTTGGTACCAGACATTTACCTCTCCAGGTCCTGCTGGATTTGCTCGATCTCGGGGTCCGTGGGCACCTCCGCCCCTCTCTCCTCCCTCTCCTGCTGGTAGCGGTAGAAGGCGTAGCTCCGGAACACCTCCTCTGCCTCCGCTGCCACTCGGTCTTCTAGAGACATGGAGGGAGAAAAGTCAAGGGAGAAGAGGAAAACCATCTCCAGGCCCCAGAGGGGTGCTCAGGTTACACCGAGCCCAGGCTGGGTCAGAGAGGGGAAGGGAAGTGACAAACCCTGTCGCTGTGTTTTCAGGGGGTTGTTTTTTGTTTTGCAGAAACGGGTTTATTTGGTGGCAAACAAATCTCACCTTCTGGGAACCGGAGGAGCCCGGGAAGGCTCCCCGAGAAAACGAAAGCGGCTGACTCAGAGTTTCAGGGAGAGGAGGGCAAACACTCAGCCAGACAGAAGAGGAAATTGGTGCTCCAAAAAATCCCTCGTTTAATTACCCCAGGTGCTATTTTTAGTAACACAAGGACAGGAGAACAGACAAGGGCTCACAATCACACCCAAGCAGATAAGTTTCTTCTGCATCCAAAGATAAGCAAACAGAACCCCAAATGAAATCCAGGCTCAACCCCTGGGACAAAAGCCTCCTTCCACCCCACAATCCCACGGCATGTCCTGGTGAGAGCTGCAGATTCCTGCTTCCACTGGAGCCCACAAGGCTTCTGCCTCAGAGGCATGCAGGATCCCTCTGGGATCCTCCAAATTCCAGAGGACACTCCCGAGTTTTGGGAGGCAGAAGGATGCCAGGATGGCCAGTAAGTGCCTGCAAGCAAACAAGAACTCCCATCTTAGCAAAGCAACCAGCAGGGAATAAAACAAACAAATGAAGGGTTTAAAGTGCTTCCTCCCCTGAACGCCCCACAGCTCCTTACCGGGGTTGAGCTCCTGTGACAACCTGTGCCTGTCGCTGCCCCGGCATCCCTGGGCCCGTGGTGGGTCACCATCATTCCCTGAGGCCATTGCAGAGGGGTGCTTGGGAATGTCAGCTTTACCTGGAACACGATGGTGGGAGCTGGTGAGTGACCTGAGCAGCCAGCAGGAGCCCTGCTGGTCCCTGGCTCTCACAGCCACACGCTCGGAGCAGCAGGAACGCTGCTGGTGTTATCTCTGCCAGCAGCCTATTTCCTCCCTACCTGGCACGCTCATTCCTTGTTCTGACTACAAAAGAATTCTGCTTAATCCTTTGACTGCACTGGATTTCTCCTCTTCGAGACTCTGATGTCATTTGCCAAAAAAAGACAACTCACTACCACACTTCCTCCTGGGTTTGCTGGGAACAGGTTCCTTCCCTCTCTGCAAGTGGCTTGGGCTGCAGCAGCTCTTTGTGCCCTGAAATGAGTGCAGCACCACACACTTCCTCAGCCCAGACCACAGCACCTGCAGGGCTTCACCCAGGGCTGAAATAAATTCAGTGAGAACCAAACACACGGCTCATCCTGCCCCTGAAGTTCACAGGAATCCTAAACCCAGACCTGCAGTTCAGGGCTTATGGCAGCTCCTTCACCCTGAGCCCCAGGGTTTGCAGAGAAGGGAGAGAGGCCACACAGTTCCTGCTGGGATTAACAGGGATCACAGCAGCTCCTTGCCTGCAGTCTGACCTGCCAGTACATGTTCCCAGGCCAGACTTCTGCAGGGCTCAACTGGTGGGTCTCCTGATTTGCAGCAGCTCTGAACTCATGAATAAGATACAATTCATGACATTGACACCCAGAAATTTAAATAAAGAAAGAGCTGGTTATGGATAAATAACCGCCTACATCAATGTTGGAAGTGCAACATGCGGGTCAAGCTCACAACCTCACACTGAAGATTGCTGAGAAGAAAAAAGAAATGGAAACTGTCAGCAGCAATGGGAAGTACAGCCTGCACTCCGGTGGGATGGGGGCTGGAATCACAGAGCTGCTCAGGAGCCTGAGCCATGGTGACACATGACGGACATGGGGTTTTTTCCTACATGCTTCTGAGGATAGGACAGGATTTCCCTTTTCCTCCCCAAGCTCAAACACCCCCATCCAAGGATGGATGAAAAAATGATGAGGATCATCAGCTGAGAATAAGAGTAGATCTTTGGAGAGAGCTGGCTCCCACTTGCCCAGATCAGCAGAGACCCAGGCTCCAGAGCTGCCTCTCCTTGCTCTTAGAATCACAGAATCATCGGACTCCCTGCTCTGGGATGATGCAGAGAGCTCAGGGAGTGCCTGGAGTGGATGCCCATCCCCTCCTCCTGAGGAAGCCTCTGGTGCTTCCCCCACTATCCCCAGTCCCTCTGTGGGCCCAGCAAGGCTCTGGCTGAGCCCCCCTGCCCCGGCAGGGCTCGGTGCTGCTCGGGGAGCAGGCTGGGAGCAGCTCTCTGGAGCTGTGGGTACCTGGAACAGTGGGAATTTCCACTGTTACCCCACAGTGCCACAGCCCAGGGGGGATGGGATGCTGGGGAGAGTGTGGGTGCATCCGACGAGCTCAGCTGCCTCGGGAGCTTCCACAGCTCGGTCTGCAGGGACAGTGGGCTGTGTCTGACATCGACCCAGCCCTCACCACAAGTGACAGGGGCTTTCTGCTGCAGCCCTGCTTGCCATGAGGGGCCAGCCAGTGCAGGAGCCCAGAGCCAGACGCAGATGACTCATGATTTTCAAGCTTGCATTTGGCCAGCCCTTTGAACCCTGGGAGAACTTTCGTTTTCGCTTTCCTCCTGGGTTCTTGCAGCGCTCTCTTCTCTTCTCTTCTCTGGTGACACAACCCTGTGCAGCCTTGTGCTCACACACGCCTGGGACCGGCAGTGTGTCAGTCCCCAACCACTGCCCACACCAAACTCCCACTGCTGCAAACCTGTGAACGCCCAGCACAGCTCACTGCCCGTCTCTGCTGGGCTCAAAGTGTCTCAGACCATCCCCTCCAGGATCCAGAGTGCTGCTGCTCCTCCTGCTCCCCAGCCCCCTTGATGAGCCCCATCCCCCCTTTGTTCTGAGAACACCCCCCTGCAGGAGAACAGGGAAGGGGGTGAAGCAGGAAATGGCACCCATAGGCTGAGAGACAGCCCAAGGCTGCAGAAAATGAAAATTCTCTAGGACTTGAGACAGGGCTCAAGGGAGGGTTATGGGGAAGCTGCAGGTCACTGAGAGCAAGGTCTGATCCACTCTGCAAGGTGTTTTGGTCTTGTAAGAGGCTGCAAAGTGTTCAAAGCAGCAGCCAGCACCTGAGGTGTGGGTTTAGCTACACCTCCAAGGTGACACAGGGCTCTTATCTTTATTAAAGAGCACACGCCATGCAAAGAATGAGCCTTCCCCAATTAAACAAAGACCTTTGCCTCCAACTGTTTCTCATTTCACCCTCATCTCCTCTTCTTAAAGACCTCTGACACATTTCCTGTGTGTCTTTACAGCACACCCACCACTTCAGCCAACTTTCCTCCAAAGGAAAGTTCCCGGGCCCTGGGTGCAGGGAAGGTGGTGGGATCAGCCCAGAGAGGGAGCACAACCCCTGTGGCCAAGCCCAGACAGGGGCTCCGAAGTTCACCCCTGAGATGGTCTGAAGATCCTGTTCCAGGAAATGCACGGAGCATCCTCTGGGACCTCCCGCGGGTCTGGGCCATGGGAGAGATCCCAGCACAGTGTGCGGGGCAGTGACCCCTCCCTGGCACAGAGACCCCTCCCTGGCACAGAGACCCCTCGGGACTCCGTGCCCGCTGCCACCCCTGCGCTGCCAGCACGAGCCAGGCTCCTCCCGCCTGTCCTGGCGCAGCAGACAGGAGAGTCTGCCCGTTTTGGTGGCCCCAGGGAGGGCAGACGACCCCAGCAGACCCAGCCACGGCAGCCACGGTCCCCCCACGCCCGAGCGCCCGTGTCCGGAGGTGGCCGCGGGGACAGCACAGCCACACGTGCCGTGTCCGAGGTCGCGGCGTGGCGGGACGGGTGTCACCCCCTCCTCGGCGGGGCACAGCTCTCCCCACCGCCGTCCCCGCGGTCCCCTCGCCCCGCGCGGGGATGCCGCGCACAGGGATGTCGGGCGTGGCTGTCACCGCCGCGGCCTCGCAAGGCGGGAAAAAAAAAAACCATCTGGAGAAAATACGGTCAAAAAAGGAGAAATTCCCTCTCTAGGACAGCGATCTGCCCGCGGCGGGACCTCCAGCCCCGGCCCGGCCGTTTGTCCGCACAGCCGCGGCTGCCGAGGCACCACCCGCACTTTCTCCTCGTCCCGGGCCGCGCGGGATGCGCCCCCCGCCTCTGTCACCCCTCCCGGCCCCCGGGATCCCCCGCGGAACCCCTGCGGCTGCCGGTGCATCCCTGCCCATCCCGGCTGGGCCCGGAGAACAGAGAGAACCCATCCTGGGGGACGCTGGGGAGGGGTGAAGGGGTTCCCCCGCGACTCACCGTGTCCCGGGGCGCTACCGCATCCCGGCCGGGAGCCGCTCCATCCCGCAGCCTCCTTCCTGCTCCTGCCCGGAGCGCGGCGCGGGGAAAGGAAGCGAGCGGGGCCGGGGAGGAGGAGGGAAAGAAGAAGAGGAAAAAAAAAAAAAAAACCAACCACAAGTAGAAACCCGGCCCCGGACCATAGACACGGGCGGCTCCGGCTCAGCTCCCTCTAGAGGCACCAACCCCGGCGCGGGGCAGCGCCGAGCACCGAGGGGGCTCCTCGGGGGGCTCGGGGGGAGCTGAGGCACCGCTCAGGGAGCTGGGGGTCTGCCCTGCGCTGCGGGGATGGCACCGCACACCCCGGCCCACCCCGGCGCTCTGCTTGTCGTGCTGCCCCGGGAGCCTTCGGCGTCTCCCTGGGCTCTCCAGTGGTTTTCTGACCTTTTCCTTAAGGCTGCACCTTAAGGTTTGCCCTCTGCCATGTTCCCCAACTGGAGCCCCGTTACCCCTACTGGAGCATTTCTGGGTTTTAGGAGGAAACTTGTGTTGATCCACCGTAAAAATGTCACCAGTGGTAGAGATGGTTCACACCAAGTGCCTTAAGACATTTGAAATCCACTGAAAAATCCCAGCAGCTGGAAAGAGGAGGTGTGATTCCCCGCGGGGAGAGAGATAGCTGCAGTGCTGAGGGTTCAGTGATCTGCCCCGCCTGCTTTTCCTCTCCTCGCTCCTTGGGACACTGCCAGGGGCACTGCTGGGGCTGGAAAGAGCCAGATAAGCAGAGGTTTGGGGCCACTACAGACGCCTGACTGCTGATTATCACACCCAGGAGCTCAGTGTGTGCCCTGTGGGACGTTCCCTGCACCAGGGTGGTGGCTGCACTGACACAGGGCAAAGCGGGATGTGGAGGGCAAAGCAAAGGACACCCACAGTGACTGTGGGAACAGGGGCTGGGAGAGATGCCCTGGCCAGGGATGGCTTTCAGGGAGGTAAAACAATGACAGAGCAGAGGGAGGCGAGGGATCAGCTGAGGGGGACCATCCCCACCAGCCTGGTACCAGGGGGTCTGCCTTCCTCCCAGGGCCACCCACTGAGAAGCTCCTGGTCCTGGTGGGGGTCAAACTCCCACCACCACCCTCAATTCTGCATCGAGCTGTGGATGAGTTTCAGAGGTAGATGTGGCTGCTTGGCTCTGATGTCCCTGACTCTGGGTGACTGATGTGTGCTGGTGGTGGTTCTTGTGCACATCTGGTGTGATGTGTGGCCAGGTTTAAGCTGTTCTACTACTGCAGAATGAGTCCTGGGCTCCTCCCCACCACACCCACCTCAATCCAGGCTGTTCCTGAGCCCCACCACCATTTCAGATTTAGCAGCCCCCAGAATTACCTCATTAGGTGGCAGCTCTGGTGAGAACTTATGTTGTGAATCTCCTCTAAAACCCTTCCTTTTGGCAAACCACTTCCCTTCCACCTCAGATACGTTGCACAACACCTCTGTGGTCTGGCTGTAGAAAACCAGCTGGGAAAGTGGTGCTGGGCAGCCAACAGCAATTCCCAAGTGCCTTGGTGTGAACCACCTCTGCCACTGGAGACTTTTTTTGTGGTGCATCAACACAGAAATTTCCTATTAGGAACCAGAAGTGCTCCAATAGTGGCTGTAACAGGGCTCCTGCTGCTCACACTGAGCAGTAAAGGATGTGGAAAAGAAGCTGTGCAGGATTGTTGGACAAATCTGTGTCTACAGCAAAACTGCAAGGAGCTTTTGCTCTGACTGAGCTGTGGGGACTGAGTTTGTGGGGAGTTCCTGTCCCCAAACAGCACTGGAGAGGGTTGGGGGGCGGGAGGGATATCGGGGATAAAGGGAAATTATTTTGAAAGGACCATCTCTGTTATGGGAATGGCCAGCATGGACCTTGAGAAATGCTGGTGGGAAGATGGCTTGAGCAGTGGTGTAAATCCTGTCTGCAGCCAGCCTGTCGTGCTACTGCAGAGGCTTTGGGACGTGGAGGCAGCAATTCCCAGCTGGCTCTGCTGCCCTGGCTGTGTGATCACTGATGCCAACGTGAAATGTTCCCAGCTCTCACCAGCTCCTCCTTTCAGCAGCTCCTTTTGCTGGTGGAAGTAAAGAAATGTATTTGCTGGTGGAAATAAGAGATGCACAGCAGCTGTGGAGATGGAGCCTCTGCATTCAGGATGCTCATGGCGTTTTAGAAGGTAGTTTTACCAATGACTGGTGTTAAATCTGTGCTGCTGCTGGAAAAGGGGACAGGAAAAGGGAGCTGTGCTGTGGGAGCCTCCTCTGGTGCCTGCACGAGCGAGGGGCTGAGGTGACAACACCCTTCTTGGGGGAGGAGGGCTGTGGTCTGTGCCAGGTGATGGCAGAGGGAGAGAACAGGAAGGGTGAGAGAGTCTTGGATTTAACCAGTCATGATGTCATAGCACTTTTACATGATTTTTTTTTTAGGGTAACAACCCTCCCTCCCATTTAGCAGGGAATGGGGTGCTGCTGGTCAGCAGTGGGCAGCACTGGCACAGCTGGCCTCAGTTTCCCATCCATGCCAGATGTCTGCTCAGCTGCAGGAAGCGCTCTGAGATCTCTGGGTGACAAACTGGCACAGCAGGGATGGGGGGAGAGGTAGAGATTTTTCCAAGCTCAGCTGCTGGAATCAGTTACCTCAGAATCGAGCTGTTGGAGAGACACTTCGTCAGCACTGACAGCAGCTTTTTCCTGGTTTTCCCCACTGCAGCCTCATGCCCTGGAAAGTGAGATGGGAAGGGAAGAGGAGTCTCTTCTGAGTGTGGCTGCTGATACATCTGCAGAGCCCTCTGATGTGGTGCTGGCCGAGAGGTGAGATCCTCCACTCCCTCCTGCCCAGGTGGGAGCAGAACCCCCTTCAGCAGAGCCGTGGGAACTGCTGGGCAGAGAAATGAATGGAAAGGGCAGGTTTGAACTGCCAGAGGGCAGGGTTAGGTGTGACACAGGGAAGGAATTCTTGTCTGTGAGGGTGGGGAGGCCCTGGCACAGCCTGCCCAGAGAAGCTGTGGCTGCCCCAGCCCTGGAAGTGTCCAAGGCCAGGTTGGAGCATCCTGGGCTGGTGGAAGGTGTCCCTGCCCAGGGCATGGGGTGGAACAAGATGAGCTTTAAGGACCCTCCCAACCCAAACCATAGGAGGATTCTGTGATTCTAAATCTCCTCGGAGCACCAGGTGGCACTGTCCGACTTCCAACCGAGCTGAGCCGAGCCGGGCCAAGCCCGCTGGGGACACGGACAGCGCTGGGTCCGGCTGCGGGGACAGCGGGGACAGCGCGGAGCGGTGCTGCAAGGGACATCTCAGCACAGACCAACGGGGTTTTCCGTCAGCCTGCAGGTTTGGCACCCCGGGCAGTGCCGATGGTGGGCGGGCAACACTTCAGAAAATCTGGTGCCTACTGCAGACAAACCCAGCGCCTTCCAGGTGGGGTTATTTATGAAATAAGCCCAGTTTTGAGTCTCCCCTGTGAGAAGGCTGGCTCTGCACTCCCTGCCTCAGTGTCCCCTTTCCCATGAGGGGTTCCACACCAGCTCCTTCCCTATGAGGCACCTCATGGGGCAGTGCCAGACTTCTAAATGCCTCTAAAATCTGGACTGGCAAGGGCTTTGGGCAGTATCAGACCACTGCCTATGGAAACCCTCTGTCCCCGTGGGGGCTTTCCGAGCCCGGCTCTTGCTTCAGCTGCCCTCAGTGTCGGGGACAGCCGAGCGCCAGCAACGCCTCCCAAAGACAGGGACAGCCCGGGAGAGAGGAAAAGCGACTTCCTTCGCTCCCTGCACAGGAAGAGCACGTCTGGAGGTGGGGAGGGGGTTCTGTGCCCTCACTGCCCGCCGGGCCCGTGTGCAGGGGGGGTCACCTCAGCATCCCGGCTTCCCCCTCCCGCAGGGCCAGATGTGCTGGCGTGTCCTCAGGAGCTGCATCCGGGGGTGGAAGCTCCCCAATAACGCCGGGAAGCGGAGCGTGGGGGCGGGTTTTGTCTCAGCCGGGCGTTTCACCGAGCTGTTCTCCCTCCGTGCGTGGGCAGGGCGGGCTCGGAGCGCTTTGGAACGCGGCCGGAGTTCCAGGAGATGCTTCTCCCTGTGAACCCTCTGCCATGAGCTCCGTGAGCCACACAGAAGCTCCTTTCAGCCCCCGAGGGGTGTCTGTGAACAGATGCCGATTCATAAGCGCGGCTCCACGGCAGATAAAGGCAGGGACGTTCCTGGCGCGGCTCCCGGAGCCGCAGCCCCTGGGAATTGCTGGTGTCCAGCTTCTCTGAGGCAGCGCAGGGGGCTGGAGGCCAGCGGGGCTCCAGCAGCTGCGGGGTGTCAGCTCAGCCTCGCTCTGCACCTCTGCTTGTGCCGTGGGGACGCGGGTCCAGCTCCCCAGCCTGGGGGGCCGAGGTGCCCAGAGCCCCCTGCCCGCTGCAGGGCCCGGTTTGGGGCCCGGGGCAGCCCCGGGAGCCCTGGCAGAGTGGGAACGGGCAGCAGGGCCGGGGGCAGTGGTGGCGGTGCCACTCTGTGCCAGCCACCTCGGTCCCTGAGGTGCATCCTTCCCTCCCCAGGTCCAGCTCCTGGGAGAGGCGGGGGCAGCTCCGGACGGACCAGCCCCTCCGGAGCAGAGAGAGATCAGCGCTGCTGCCTCACTCCCCATCCCGGCACCGGCCGAACGGCTCCTCAGCTCCAGCTCTTTCCTCTTCTTTTCCATCTGTTTAATGAACATACCACGTTTTCCTTTTTGCTTTCCCCTTTCCTGTTCCTCGGGAAGGACCCTTCAGCCTCACCCGCCCGACTGCCACGGCCTGGCTTTGGTTTGAATTTTTTACTAGTTTTTTTTTTTAGATTAAGCATTTAGTGTGACTAAAATGTTCTCACTTCTCCCTCTGATTATTCACTTTCCCTTATTAAACTGTTCTGCGCTGAATTACTTTTCCTCCTTTCCCAACCCTTCCACCCTCCAGCTTTTTCATTATTTATTCTCTGTGGCTTTTAAGGTTTTATTTATTAATTTCTGGGTAAGAAGAGGCC